AAAAGGAGCTACTTTTGAATTATCACAAAACTAAGAGGAAATAATGCTGTGATGGAAAATCCCAGAAAAATGACCTGAGAATGACAACTGCACTTTAAAGTGCTTTAAATGAAGATCTGAACTGCTGCTTGTATAATGCACAGATGGGCAATAACGATCATTAACTGTTTGCATTCTTTCAAGCAACACTGCCTGTACAAAGTATCTGCATATTACCCATATAAATTTTAGAAGACTACTTGTTCATAACTTTTTACTTCCTCTTAAGGACTAGGTTTTGTAGGAAACTTTACAGTTCATAAATCAGATTGCAAAAAATTAAAAATATTCTCCAATGTACATTTTCCTACTTAGAACAGTAGTTGTATATTTTATTATTACAGGACACAACAGTAACTGTCAACAGATACATCATATCCTTATATAGTGTAATGCACTACTCAGGAATTTGTAATTTGTTTCAATGTGCCTTTATCCACTGGTCATTTACTACCTTAACCCAAGACACAGCTACTATACTCAGGACCGTCAATTAATTCAATAGGAACATTTTCTAGCTTGTTATAATGCACAGATGTCAAAATTGGACAACATTGAAACCTTATTCAATGTGATAATAGGAAAAGGCCCAAATATAAAATTAGGTGCAATGACATCTAATACGACTATTTAATGCTGTCAAGATTTAGGACGGTTTGAAATGGCATCTGTTGCGTTTCCACAAGCTGTTACGACTTCCAAATGGGCTTCCAGTTTCATTAATCCTACTTGATCTTTCCTATTAAGGCTTCATTACAACGTTACAGACAAAGTCCAGCCATTAAATTGGTACGCCTAACTAGAAGTCAGTAATCATAAAATTAGTTCCCTAAATTTTCCAACCTTGATCTTTTTGTCTTACATGCAGAAAGATCTCTTGAAAACAAGGCAAAAATGCTGCTAAAACCAGAGCTCAACAGGCCAAATCACCTTTTATCCATACTTGACTTTTTATGCAAGTGATCATTTTAGTGTTGTTACAAAAATAGTTTATCATTGTAGATAACGCAAGCAATATTGAATTATGCAAAAACACAGTACTGATGGGTGCTACCACTCCAAAATGGTCAAATGTAAAGAGGTGGTCTTCAAAATTTATTGGATTGCATGCAGTTTGTCAGACCAATGGGCCTGTTCAAGATGAATGCAAAACTATAAATGACCGACAATCTTCATAACAAGAAGCTATTAGAAAACAAAATTGTGCTGTGCTAAAATACATTACATACAATTGTATGCTCCTGTACCAGAGAATAAATTAAGAGGTGTGCTCTCAGTTTAACTCGTCATGGTGATCATCTTTCCAAAGTAATTTTACAGTGCTCCAAATTTTATGGTCATATTTTGTCCAGAACTAAGCATACAGGAGTAATGATTCCACTAAACATGCGTGCACACACACACAGACAGTCCGACAGAGACAGAGACATGTGAATGTAATGCTATTCATTAACAGACAAATCAACAAACAGTGACCTTGGTCCTGAATTTGAACTTTGCGGAGGCAAAGAACTTTGCTTCATGAGTTAAACACTAACATTCATCTTTCTTGCACTTCTGCTTGTGATTTATGGTTTTATTTATACAACTTTAAACCTAAAAAAACTTCTTAAAATGATCTCACCTAACTTTCTGAAAAGGTGGACTTTCAACAATTCCCAGATCATGGCACATTTAGCCAGTTGCTTGCATTGTTGCCTCATTTTCCAATAATAAATACAAGTTCTAAGGCAAGCCAGCATACAGCAATGCCATAGATGCAACAGTAGGTGATGAATTGTCAATATGGATGCTTTGTTATTATTTGCAGAGCAAAGATCATTGAACGGAATTTAAAGCAAAATTATTAAATTTCTAATGGACAATTTAGAAGAAAATCAGCACTCTTTTAGAGCTAACGATCTCCCTGCATTCAACATAAGGCATTTGAACTGAGGGCCTGTTTGCCCAAGAAGTGAGTTCTCAGTGTAAATTGAAAAAAAATTTGCATATCACCTTCAGACGTATCATTATTGCTTTCCCCCTCCCCCATTTCTTGTAATGCACAGGATAGGAACACATTTAGCATTTTAGTTTTGCGGCAGTTAACTCATTTTTCTTCATTTCTGTAGCATTTTCAGAGTTGTAAAGTTAAGGCCATCCATCGATGCTTTCCATTCAGATCAAGGCAGATTTTAAATTTCACAGGTGACTACTGTCTGATTGTTACCCTTTCATTTTCATATTGGAAGCAAACACCAATTAGGAACAGAATGCTTGCAATTTCCTCTATAAATCTGTCTAATTTCACTTTGGATTTTCTTTTGAGTTAAGATGAACAAAATGTTCAGGTTTGAAAAGCTCTATCAAGAGCTATTTTAGTGCATTAGGACTAAGCTTTAGCACACTGCTTCTGAGGTAAAAAAACATTCTGAATAAAATACACTACATCCTTAATGCGATAGTCTTTAAGGAGCTAAGCATTTTACATGTTTTACTAAGGTGCATGCTATGTCAAATGCCTTATAAAAGTAGCATTAAAATCTTGTAGAAAAACTGGGAGTCAAAGTCCAGTGTTTAACTAACAATAAGAGCCTTAACAATCGTAATATGTACAGTCAATATCCTCATTGTATCACAATGGAAGATAATGCACCCAGAAAGAAAAAAACAACTTTATTATGCTAGTCAACTTTAAACTTTTTGTTCACCTCTCATTTCTTCAGCACACGTTAAAGAGCAGAAACTCTTCAACACTGCACCTTTTTTTGGAAGACAACCAGGCACGTACATCAGTTCCACTTAAGCTGTTACAATGAATAGCTTTATACTCTTCAACTGTGCTTAACTAACTTGGGTTTACCACACCTATCCTTAACAGCATTTACAACGGCCTACATTTTCCAGAAAAGATAAATCGAGTGTTCAGGATGCATGACATTAATAATGTGCAAATTGGCCAGCGTGTTCAAAAGAGAAACCCCATTAAGTTATGAATTTCCAGAACATTCTGGTCAAGTTATGTCACTTTACCATTTGCCACATGTTCAACGACATCTCCCCTTAGCCTGACCATTAAGAACTTGCTGGATTTGCACATCAATTGCCAGATAAGAACCCCTATTTTTTTAGTGCTCATAATTAAGAACCCAAGTACCCTATTGCGATAATTATTAATTCAACATTAGTCAATACCTCCGGCCTCAATTTAAACCGTTGAGCTTCAACCCTGCATGCAGTACCTCCTTACAGATTTAAAGAAACTTTAAAATTATTTTTTTTTCTCTCATAATCCAATCTTTATTTCCTCACCTGATTGGAGTCTAAATCACATAATCCTTTTCTGTTTTGACACTTCATTTACTAGAACATAAATTTCACTGATTTAGATACACTGTGGTTTTGTTTTTGACTAAGTCCCACACTTGTGCCCTGTCATTAGTTCACATTTCCAGCAAGATACTGCACAAATTATATTCAAACTGAAGGGTGCAGAAAAAAGTCGAATTGTGCAGGCTGCGAGATGCCCTATTCCAACAAGATTTAGCCCACACAAGTTTTCCGGTTCTCTCCTATTGTGCTGTTAGACTACTGCTCTTTTTGTACTGCACTGGTTTCCGATTCAATGTGGTGAGACCAAAGTTCATGCATTTTGCACATCTGCACTTCATATCCATTTCTACAATGTATCACAGATTTATTCACACTTCATGACTCTTCAGCGTAGGAGCACTTCGTGAACAAGTGCTACTGCTTTTAAATTTGGCGCCCATCTCAAATATATATACTTGATATTTTGTCTTCTTTGACCTTTTACTGTGCTGAGCGTATAGACCTTACATGGCACTTGGATTAAGTTGAGATGAACTCTGTACAGTACTGTAAAATTGATTTCCTAGTTTAACTATCAATTGATATGTCAGAATGTCCATTCTCTTGGAAGGAATCCCTAGCAACCTGGAAAGCAGAAATGAACCACGATTATTCATTCATCCACATTCATTTTACTTAAAATAAATCTTAAAAAGACAGACATATACGATAATGGCTCAACAAATGTAGAATGAATAACCCAAGTAACTAAAGTGAAAATCAGCGAGACGCTAAACAAGTTTGGAAAACAGCTCTATGAACAACCGCAATACTCATTTGTAAATCAGATCCAACTTCCAGTGATCTCAAAACATTTGCCCAGAGAAAGGCATTAATTTTGTTTCCTACAGTCAACTCAAGCACGTTAGTCAACCTATAACTTATAGCAAGGATTACATTATCAAATTACTAAACTTTAGTCTTGTCTATGCAAATATGGGCTTCTAATCTTGGTGCAAAATGTTTTGCAGCTTTTCTGCACTCACATGCAAAAATCTATTGCAGTATGGTTAAAGTCACTTGATATCAATGAGACTGATTTTGAGGTTTGGTACCATGGTCTATGAAATTTATTCTTTCCAAAAATAAAACTTCCCGATTCAGATTTCCACTATACTTAAATCACACTAGCATCAGTTTCAGACCTCTACTTACCAACAAAGCCCATCTGACTAACTCAGTGGAAAGCATGAGGAATGGCTTCTGCTGGACTTACCCCCATCTGTATAATGAGGAGCAGGAACAGGAGAAGCGAGAGACACTGGGAGTGAGGCACCAAGGCAAAAGACAACACTCTGTTTGCTATTACTCCTATTGTTAGCACTGTATTTATTCGTTCTTTATACCAGTTTTATGTTTCAGTATAGGAAAGTACGCTCTGCAGGAAACTTTGCCACAGATTCCCATCAACAAGAATCATATTTTTAGCACCAAATTGTGCCTTTTTATACATAATCTCAAGCCTTTTACAAGAGTTGTTTCAAATCAGACATTTTACAAAGTACATCAACCACCCATCAGCTTAATTTGCAGCCTCTTTGAAACAGTTATGGATTGAACTCAATAACCAAGTTACTTATTCTTCAAGAACATAAACCATTCCACTTACCTTAATCACTATCCGATTCCATAACAAAGAGCGGTCTACAATTGTCCCGGGTACTGTGCCCTTCTAACGCTTCAATGCTGTTGAAGATCATGAAACATTTCCGACATATGTGTCGTTCATTTTTCACGTTAATTGCATTTGCATGTGAACTGGGGGGCTGATTTGAATCTGTGGCTAACTTCCTTCGTTTTGGCATACTGATATATCGCTCATCTAGGTAGCTTGGAGGCTGTGGTCTGTAGTACTTATGTAATCTGCCATAGCCCTTATGTTCTTCCCTTCCACTACTAATCTTCTGCTCTTGGCTAGAGGATGCCTGCAAAGCTGGATGAACATTACTCTGTTGTGACAGATTGCTGGCATTCTGTGACACGTCCATTGCAGCACCTTTTGAAACACTGTTATTCAACACTGCTGGTGTAGACTCTGAGTTTGAAGCATCTCTTGTAAGACAAGTCTTATCTAAATCAGCAACACCATCACTTGATGTATCACCTGAGTAAAATGGATTTGTAGGGTTTAACTCACTCAAAGTGTCTTTCAGGTTAATATGCCCATTTATTATTTGTTTATTATTAATACAACAGTTCTCACTGCCTGATTCAACAGGCAGGGTTTTCTCATCTGATTCAACAGAAATATGCAGAGTATCATTTAATTTGCCATCTCCATTTTGATTTCCACTTTGCTTGCTAACCATATTGTGAAGGTAGGTCTTTGGTTCTGATAACTCTTTTCGCGACTTCCACAATGGAACTAGCAATTCCATAGGATTTTGTTCACCTCTTAAACATTCGTCTTCGCTTGCCTTTTCTCGGTGGCTCAGGACTTTGCTTGTCTGAGAGTTTTTTTTATCATGTTCAGTGAGCCGGATAGGTTTGCCACTTAAATAATGCTGTGCCTCATGCTCGTAAAGCACATCAAGTTCATCAAACAATTTATCACAGTCACGAAAGCTGCACTGTGCCCGAAAAGCTTCATGACCCTTGGTATGAGTTGCAAGTTCTGAAGCAGATTTAAATGTCTGGCTACAGCCACATTGTAAACAGAAGTACAATTTTGGATACTGATGCCTTTTAAGGTGGTCAATTAAATGCTGGGAATGTGTGAATTTTCTTTGGCAATAACGGCACTTGCCCTTATACCACTTCATTAGGTAATCTTGCACATTTTCATCAGA